CACCTCCTCTTCCTCCTCCTCTTCCTCCTCCTCCTCCTCTTCCTCCTCCTCCTCTACCACCTTCTTTACAACATCTTCTTTAAGCAGAGCTTAAACTACTAGCTAAAGCTAGGACGCAGCCTATAGCCTGTTAGTCTAATCTAGGGTATAACACACAATCTCTGCAGAGAAGCTTACCCGCTTGTCCTCCGCAACAAGCGCTGTAATAAGGCGCTGCGCATAGACAACAGCAACAGGGGGACTGCAAATAAGTTAAAAAGCTAGATTACCCCACACACTGCTACAGAGCTTACAGGGGCAGGCAGCTGTGCCTAGAGGAACAGCGCCAGCAGCGTGAACTGCTAGTGGCGGAATTATAGCACTCCCTACTAGAGCGCCCCGCGAGTGCACTCTTTATGCAGCCTAGACAGGACTGCGCGCGGAGCGCACTAGGGGGAGGCCGGCGAGGAGTCGAGACCGGACCGGGGGGCGCGGGCCGACGGGGGGTGGTGGGCGCAGGGCGGCGGGCGGTGGTAGGCGCAGCGCGGCGGGGGGTAGTGGGCGCGGGCTTGCGGGCAGCGCGGCCCCGCAGAGCGGCGGCACGCAATTAGGCGGCTCTTTTAGCTTTGTTAAGCTATAGATGCACATTAGCAGAGATTATAGACAGGTTTAAAGTTTATTCTTAGAGCTCTTAAAAGCATTAACTTACACGCAGCATGTTAGTTAGACTTACAGAAGAGAAGCTTAAGAAGCAGGAGAATTTATTTACCTCTGTTGCAGCAATCACAGCACGCACGTGACCTGCGCTGCCTAGGGCAACAAGCACAAACACAGGGTAAACGCGCAGCGCTGCTCTAACAAGCTAAGTTAACGCTTAACGCAGGTGAGCTGCTGCGCAGCTCACCTAGGGGGTGTGTCGCGTATACTGGGAGCCTGGGACTGGGGGCTCAGAGCCTGGGACGCAGCTCGGGATCTGGAGATATTATGTTCCGAAGCTCGGTGTATATAAGGAGAGCCTTCAGCTCTCTTAGATAGCGGAGTCACTTCATCCGATCTTCTGAACAGCTACTGCCAGGCTATTTTATCCTCCACAGTTTCTTTACTTAAACTGTTACTTAAGTTCTTTTAGTAAAATTCCTAATTTACTTTATTTAAAAAGATATTGTTTCTTTTTTTTATTACATTTTTAATATATTTAGCTACTTATGTTAGATGTTACTATTCTTCTAAGACTACAGCTTATTTAATAGCCCTAGAAATACTATCTCTTTTCTAGACCTCTACCTTCTAATAGTCTACTAAATAGTTAGAGAATTTATAGTTATCTCTATATCTCTAGTAAAGTTATTTGTTAAGCCTATTATATATTTCTTTATATGTTAGGCCTCTGTTAATATATATAGCTTTTATAGTTAACCTGCTATTTTTATTCTTTAGTTATTTAAAGTCTAGACATTTTTAATAAAAGTAGCCTACTTTTTTATAGTTAAAGTATGCCTTTTTTTTAAGCTGCTTTTTTTATTTTTTGTTTAGAGGTAGCTTTACACTTTTAAAGAGACTGCTTTTTTTCTTAGAAAAGCTACATATATGCTTAGCGTAGCTAAGGTCTATAAGTTTACTATTAAACTATAAGGTTTTTTTTTTAAAAAACTAGTTAGGTTTTAAAGTTATCTTACTTATTTTTTTTCTTTTTATATTACTTAGCATGTCTTTTATTATAGGTAAGTGCTTTTTTAATGTAATTCTTAAAGCTCTTAGGCTTTTTTATATAAGTAAATTTATTTTTAATTATGTTTAAAAGCTTTTTATAAAACATTTATTTTATTACTTTTTTATTAGTCTATCTGCAGATAGCTAACAGCTCTCTAAAGTAGGCTGTATAATGTTAGACAGTGCTGCCTTCTTATTAAAGAGTGTCTATTTTATTAACTACTTATTTTTCTTTATTAACTAACTTATAAATTATAGGTAAGGCTATTTTAAATAAGTTAAAGTTCTTAAAGACCTTTTATATTTCTAGTAGTAAAAGTTTATTATTTACTTTATAGTCTATCTAGTTGTTAGCGTAGAGTTAGAACTATATAGTAAGTAATTTTTTTAAATGTAAGCTTATTTATAAAATTATTTTTTTATCTATTCTAAAAGCACTTTTATTATATTACATATAAAAGTAGCATTTTATAAAGAAAGGTTTTAAGTCTTTAGCAAAGCTATTAAATGCCTTAAAAAAGGCTAGGTGTAAGGTTTTTTTAGACTTAATACTAGTTTTTTTTTAAGTAATGTTTCTAAAGTTAGCTACTTTTAGCTAAAGAGCTTATAACTAATAAATGTTTAAAAGCCCTTACTATACTTATAGCTAAAGGTGTTATTTAAGTTATTCTAACTGTAACGATCCTCATGAATCGTTCCATCTCGAGTCGCCCGGAACCTCCGGAAGGCCCTCGTATCGGCCCCGACCTCGACCTGGCCCCGACCCCTGCTGTTACCCCTATTCCCTTATGTATTTAGTCGCACCTCGCCCCCGTAGCTAGCTCGGTAGTTTTCTGATATCCTACGTACAAGGCCTATAGGTGTCATTGGTATTCCCAGGTCTCTGAGTCCCCACGCACTCCCATATGCCTCTGAGTGGATTCATACCGCATTCGGACCCATTGTCTTGCCTGCGCCGTTACATTAACTTATTTTAAAGATATAGTATTTACTAATTTTATGCTTTTTTAGTTGCTATAGGGGTCTAGCTAGTGCTAGCAGCTAAAGCGCCTGTTATGCTAATGTCTAAGGTAGTAGTAGCTATACTTTGCAAGTAGTAGTAATTACTGTTACAATTCTTACTTTAGTAAGATAGTAATTTTAGAAGTATAACAGCCTATAGTGTAGTTAGCAGTAGGGGTAGAACTTAGCTAGATTAGGTGTACAGTCTATTAAGCAGAGTGTAAGTTTAGCAGAATAGAGAAGGCAAGTTATAGTTTAGCCTAGCAGCTGTATAGAGAGCTAGCAAACCTAATCTGTAAAGATAGAAAAGAAAGTATATATAGTGTAAAATATATAAAGTAGTAATATTCTTTTTATAAAAGTTTTAATGCCTCTTAGTCTATTAAGTAGGTAAGTAAAGACTAAATAGTAATTACAACCTTCTAACTATAGTTATAATCTAGACTATATACATAGGTTTACATGCTCTGCACGCTTGCATGCTTGTTTCTACATAGCCTGCATAGCCTGCAAGCCTGCAAACTAGCAAAGCTTATTAGATAATGCACTCTGCTAGGCTTTTGTCTAAAAGCTAGAGCTATTCCTTATCTGTCTTATCACGTAATTCGTTCAGCGCGGGGCTAAGCGTCTTCCATCCGACGTTGTTAGGGCTGTGTGGGACAGCTAATTGGGTCATTACAGTCTGTCTGTTGGCTGTAACACGTATTTATTACATAAGCTATATGCTTTTCTACTATGTACACTTTTATTAAAGCATCCCCTGTGCAGTAGGGACTAGAGATAAGACTACTTACTATTAGATTATAATAGTAGACTTAATTACTATAGCAAATAAAAATAAATACATTAAGCTTTATACTAAACTTTAAAATATAACTTTTTTATAAGCTTACTTTTACTATCTAATAGTAATTTAACAGTAGATAATACTTTACCTAGTATTACTTACTAGGTAAAGCATAAAAAGTACTTAGTAATTAAAGTAAGTATTAATAACACTTACTTTTTTTTAATTACTTTTATAGAGGCTTTATAACATTATACTAATATAGTAAAACAGACAGGCTTAAAGTTAAACTTATATAGTAGGTAACTTTATTTTTTACTAGCTATTTTTAGGTATGTTTTTTAATTGCCTTTAATACACCTTATATACGCTGCTAATAACACTGTAGTGCTATAGCGCTTAATGCTTATAATTCTTTATAATATTAAGCTTAATTAATTTTTAGTATTTTTTAT